AATTCGAACAATTCGAACAATTCGAACAATTCGAACAATTCGAACAATTCGAACAATTCGAACAATTCGAACAATTCGAACAATTCGAACAATTCCGAACCGAACACGAACCGACCATTCATGAACAATTTCGAACACGAGGCTATTTCAAACAAACTATATTTCAAACAAACCGAACACGAACACGACCGCTGTTTGTTCGTGTTCCGTTCGTTTACACCCCTACCTGAATCCGAGACAACCAATCTAGTAGAGGCAACCCTTATCCTACCCCCCACACTATCAATCTTTGTAGAGAGGCTTCTCTTCTTCTTCTTTGTCCTTGATGATGGTGGATCTCCTGAGGAAACCTTCATCTCAGGCTTGGTATGTTGCGGACTCTGAATGGAGGTTTGTTTTGATGCAGACTGAATCTTGTTCAGTATTTTCTTGGATGATCTACTCCAGACCTCATTCCATTCTTCTTAGGTGTTTTTAGAAGCTTGTTTTGATGAACCTTGTATTTGATTAAGGACCATCTTGAGTTCATCCTTGTTGTACTCCATCCATCTGTTCCAGTATACGGATTGATTGGGGAGATTAGCTCGGCTGAAATCATATTTATGGAACCTTTTTTAGGTTCTTTTAAATATTCTTTCGAGATTTCTATGTTCTCTTCTTTAAGGTTCCTCTCGAGCCAATCCTTAAATACGAAGCATTTTTCTATAGTGTGCCCGAGCAACTCATGATATGGGCAATAATTTGGCTCATTCTTCCTATCCACCTCTTTGGGCTTCTTTGGATCTAGTAGTCTGAATTCTGGCTTCTTCATGAGACTTCTGAATATTTTAGGTATAGCTTCTTCTTTGAAAAAATACACCATCTTACGGTGCTCTGACAGGGACATTTTCTTATCTGTTGTTTGAGGTGATCCCTCTTGAGGCGGTCGCTGGTTGGATTGACTATTCTATTTTTTAGAGTATTGTGGCGAAGACTGGCGATGTTTTTCTGCATATATCTTTATTGGCTGCTTTCCTTTGTCGACGGTCGCCACTACTCCTGATTTCTTTTCATACACTCTGGTCACCTTGGCCTTTTTGTGTGGCTCCATGTGCTTAATCTCCTCTTGAAGACTACTAGCTTTCTTGAGTAGCTTCTCGAAGGATTTGATAGTAAGTCCCTTGAGCATGAAAGCTACTAGCCCATGAATGCTCTTGAGTAGAATTTCAAT